TAATTTTAGTGACCCCATGATTCAGGTTTTGACCCCTTTTCGAGGGACGGTGGACATTTTGGCTGTCAATATTAAAATTATGATAAGTGTGCCCACCCCTTTGAAAAATTTTCCCAATCTTTTAATGAAAGTAAAAAACCCCTTTTAAGGGCCCAAGAAAAAAATCAAAATCAAGTAAGAAAAAGGGGGTTTCTAATAATTTTGCTGCGCCTAAAATTCAGATGGATGGGGGTTATTTTTATGAAAGGAAAGAAAAATATATAAAAATTTTGTAAAAATCAGAGATTTATAAGGAATCAAATATAAAAATATATGAAATTATATTTGTAAAATTACATAAAAAAAATAGTTTCAAAGGGGGCACCAAAACCAAATATTAACTTTTGAATTCCTTTTTTATGATTCATTAAATGACATTTTTTCAAATTATAATTAATAAATGCAAACCAGCAATTACATGCACCACTTTTGCAAAATAAAAATATTTTCATACAAAAAAAAATATATAGAAATTTTATTTCCATGACCATAAGGATCAACAATTTGTGTATGACCAATAAATTATTTTAAAAAAAAATTTTTTTTTTAAAAACCCCCCAAAAAAAAAAAATTTTTTAAAAAAAATTTTTTTTAAAAAAAATTTTTTTTTTTTTTTTTTAATTTAAAATTTTTTTAAAATTTTAAATTTATTAAAAAAACCCCCAATTTTTAAAAAATTTTTTTTTTTTTTTTTTGTTTTTTGGGGGGTTTTTTTGCCCGGGTTTTTTTTCCCCGGGGCCCCCTTTTTAAAAATTTAAATTTTCCCCCCCCAAAAAAAAAAAATTTTTTTGTTTTTAAAAAAAAGGAAAAATTTTTTTTTTAATTTTAAAATTTTTTTGGGGGGGAAAAAAAAAAAAAAAACCCTTTTTTTAAAAAAAAAAACTTTTTTTTTGGGGAAAAAATTTTTTTTTTTAAAAAAAAAAAAAAAAAAAAAATTTTTTTAAAAGGGGAAAAAAACCCCTTTTTTTGGAACCCTTTTTTAAAAAAAGGGGGCCCCCCGGGGGGAAATTTTTTTTTAAAGGGGGGAAAAAAAAAAGGGGGGGAAATTTTTTTCCCCAAAAAATTTGGGAAAAAAGGGGGGGGAAATTTTAAAATTTTTTGGAAAATTTCCCATTTTTGGTTAAAAAAACCCCTTTTTTTAAAAATTTTTTGGGGGGGCCCAAAGGGAAAATTTCCCCCCAAAAAAATTTTTAAAAATTTTTTGTTTTTAAAAAATTTAAAAAAAATTTTTTTTAAAAAAAAAATTTTTTTTTTAAAAGGGAAAAATGGGACCAAAGACATTTTATCTAAAGTTTTGTATAGCTGGATGTTTAGGGTTGTTCACTCTGCTTCCCAGGGATAATCAATTTTACTGCGCAAATTGACCCCAAATTTAAAATGTTGCAACCATTTTCACTCAAATCTGCCAAAAAATCATAATGATATAGCACAAGTGTTGACTGCACCATAGCTTAACAGCATCTTCAATCTTAAATTTCTTGTTACCATGGCAACGGGGGACATCTCAAAATTGCCAAAAAACAATTTTTTGCATTGTTTTTTTCCCATCAAAACTGATTTCAAAGTGCTCCAACTTCTCAATGGATTGAAATAGAGAAAAAGGTTTTTTAGCGTTGGTTGCACAGTCACATGTCCAAAATTTCTCTTGGCTATGAGGGGGGCTGCCGCCCCACTTCAAACCCCCGTAACAGAAGGGGGCACATCCCTCTTCTGGCAACCTCTTGATGTACCTTTTTGATGAAAGGCAGCACCGAAAAGTGATCACTTTTTTATCAACATTTCTCAAACAAAAAAAACAATATTTTGGGCTAAATAGGGCATTTTTACACTGTTTCAGGTCTCAAAAATTGGGGAGGGGGTCGACAAGCCGTCCAAACACGTCTATATGAGGTAAAGGGTTAATGCTTAACCTGCTGTGACCAATACTACAGTAATGAAAAGCCTCTGTCACCAGTATAGAGTCAGGCCAGCCTGACCTTTAATTAGGCTTATAATAATGTTGGTTCTTCAAAATTGATATTCCTCAAAACAGTATTTCAAGCCTGTGCCTGAAACCTTGAATAGAACAGCTGGCCACTCACTTGGAAAATTAACATATCATATAATTATCTTTAAAACAATGTGATTGTAAACAATATGATTGCACATTTTTTGTTATTTTACCATGTATTTTGCCAGTTAAAGATTTAAATCGAAAATTATAATAACATTAATTTCATTGGTCGACTAGTCATTCAAATAAGGCACACAAAAAATCCCAAGTACCAAAATGCAAATATGACCCTCTTTTGGACGTAATGACTTACATGTATATCTATAAAAAGCACAAGCATAATGCCAATATGTTTAGATTGGCAATATTATAATATGCTGGTGATAACTTTTATTAATTTTTACATTTTCAAACAAAATCCCATCAACAAACAATGAACAATTCGAAATTTGAAGTATGGCAAGAATACCAAACAAAGTCAGAGGGTTAAAGGTTAAAATAAATCCAATATAGCTCCATACACCACAATCAAAATCGGAAAATAATCTCCTATCTGCCACAGTCAAAGACAGAATAATCTCTAATCAAAATAAAACAAGGAAAAATAATCTCCAATCTGCCGTAATCAAAGACAATGAAATTCTTCTTGCATAAAAAGAAATTATCCAAATTTTTATTTCATTCCTGAACAGCAGAGGCAAAAAAGAGTATTCAAAGAGTTCAGGGCAGGGAATGGGCTACAAAGCTAGAAATAACAAAGATTCTACTTTGTGACTAACACAGTGAGGGCTATTTTTGCGTATTTTGACCTATTTTTTAGTAATTAATGTGAATTGTAAATTACATTGTGTACTTTTGTTTTGTTCACTTCCCAATATTTTACTTTTTCTACATCAAAATTTTCATGAATCTGGAGGCATGTTGCTTTATGAATGCATCCATGCAATTTACTATTTCTTGTGTCACTGGTCATTATCATCCTCTTGCTATCATTTTACTTATTTGATTTTTTACAAGTATACTTAACATTTAAACTACCAACTATTTAAAACAAAGATTTAATGACGATAAAATGAGGCAATTGACCTTAGTAGTGAGAATTGCATATTATACATGTATATTATTGTCTTTAATAAAGAAAATTACAAATATATGTGCATTTCTTTGTAAAACAATGCCATTTTCTAATTTTACTGCTGTCCCTTTTTAATATCTAATGTTAATGGCAAAAGGTTACCGGCTAATGCCACCAGCATAAAACAAGCCAAGATACATGTATCAAATCTAATCAGATTGAACTACTCAATCTTCAATCTGAAGACAATTGCGCAACTCAAACCTACAGCGGTGATAGGCATAGAGGTTTGAAGTAAATGGCCACAACCACTTGCCCATAGAGGCCTTCTGTAAATCTGTTATGATCATTTGTGATACACTAGTATTACAATAAACATAGCGATGTTCTCATACAAACTAATTAAATTCAAGTTGAAAGAACATTGTATTAAGACATTATGGTTTTTATAGTCATTAAATTTACCTTATTGTTGCTTTGTTTTTGATGTTTGTAAAGTAAGTCTAATATTAAGTGTTAATGGTTCAATATATTAGCAATTCAATTAAAGATTTTGCAGATTAAAAACAATCAAGAAGAAAAGGCTAAAATCAATTTAACTGTTTCACCTATAAGCATATAATGCATTTACAGTTACACTCAAAAGAAAATAAGGTTGTGCAACATGTAAATGAGAACATACAGACATATGGATAGAAAATCTACACCTCTGGTGAGATAAAATGACATCAATACCTATAATGAGATAAAAAGTCCATCTTTACCTCTGGTGAGATAAAAAGACAGTTAATAACTCCAGTGATATAAAAGACAGTTTATACTTCTGGTGAGATAAAAAGACAATCTATACTTCTGGTGAGATAAAATGATGGTCTATACCTCTGGTGAGATAAAGACAGTCTTCAACTCAGGTGAGATAAAATGACAGTCTTTACCTCTGGTGAGATAAAAAGACAGTCTATACCTCTGGTGAGATAAAGACAGTCTTCAACTCAGGTGAGATAAAATGACAGTCTTTACCTCTGGTGAGATAAAAAGACAGTCTATACCTCTAGTGAGATAAAAGACAGTCTTTACCTCTTGTGAGATGAAAGACAGTCTTTACCTCTTGTGAGATGAAAGACAGTCTATACCTCAGGTGAGATAAAATGACAAGATAAAATGACAGTCTATACCTCTGGTGAGATAAAATGACATGATAAAAGATAGTCTATACCTCTGGTGAGATAAAATGACGGTCTATACCTCTGGTGAGATAAAATGACAGTCTATACCTCTGGTGAGATAAAAGACAGTCTATACCTCTGGTGAGATAAAATGACAGTCTATACCTCTGATGAGATAAAAGACAGTCTATACCTCTGGTGAGATAAAATGACAGTCTATAGCTCTGGTGAGATAAAAGACAGTCTTAACCTCTGGTGAGATGAAAGACAGTCTATACCTCGGGTGAGATAAAAGTCTATAACTCTGGTGAGATAAAAGACAGTCTATAACTCTGGTGAGATAAAATGACAGTCTATAGCTCTGGTGAGATAAAAGACAGTCTTTACCTCTGGTGAGATGAAAGACAGTCTATACCTCGGGTGAGATTAAAGTTTATAACTCTGGTGAAATAAAAGACAGTCTATACCTATGATGAGAAAAAAAGACAGTCTATACCTCTGGTGAGATAAAATGACAGTCTATACATCTGGTGAGATAAAAGACAGTCTATACTTCCGGTGAGATAAAATGACAGTCTATACCTCTGGTGATATAAAAGATAGTCTATACCTATGATGAGATAAAAAGACAGTCTTTACCTCTGGTGAAATAAAAGACAGTCTTTACCTCTGATGAGATAAAAAGACAGTCTATACCTCTGGTGAGATAAATATATAATAACAGTACCTGAGAAGGTTCGAGTCTTTGCGTGTATGCCATGGCTGGTTGTGCTGAGGATGGCTGGCCTTTTTGGAGAGTAAAGGTGCACATAACTTATTTCCCATCTCCTTCTTATTTCCTGCTTTCACTGCTTATTTCATCTACTGCTTCAAATTTATTAAATCAACACATAGTTATTTCATCCATTATGAATTACTGCTTATTTCAAATACTGCTTCTATTTAATAAAATTCACACAATTTGTTATTTATTCATTATCAATTACTGCTAACTTTAGTATTACTGCTTATTTCAGTATTACTGCTTATTTCATATACAGCATGTAACTTATAAAATCAACACATATATTGCAGTTATTACATCCATTTAAAATTACTGCTTATTTCATATCCTGCTCAGTGTGATTGTCCACTATTTCCACTAGTAAATATAATATGATTATATTCCTCAGTTATCATTTATACTGCTTATTTCATTATGTTAACACATTGTTTCCTTTATCATAATGCTCACAATGCTATTTTCATTTGTTGCATACTTCACAAAATTTACAGTTAAATCATGGATAATGGAAATATTAATCCATTACTTCTTAAATCATAAAACATCACTGGTTCTGAAAGTCCATATCAAAGAATTTAATTACTGTAACAATTATTTTCTTTATCTTTTACCTTTAAATAATCTATATCAAGTAATCCAAAAGTTCCTTCATTTGATAATTCCTAATTTCTTTTCCACTTACTGCTTATTTCCTAGAGTAAACCATCATCTAAGCAGTGTCTCTAAGTTTCCTAAATTTTGTTCAACTACAAACAGTGTAACTGCCTTCCTGATATTTTGGGGCATATGAAATTCCAAATCACCTTTGGCAACCTGTATCATCATGTCACTCCCAGCTAGTTACAGAAGAATTCAACGAATCTGAAATAATAACAACAATAATCTGAATACCTGAGAATTCCATTTCAAATTAACTTACAGTAATAATACAGTACAACCTTTGCAGAGAAACACCCTCTGGAAGACAAATATTTTGATTGAAACTGAAAGGTCTTCCTCTCAAGAGGTTAATTTTTTTTGTAAAGTCTTACCTTTATAAGAACTGACACTGCAGAGGTAATTGTTCTACAGATGGTTGTTCTACACATGTTACACTGTATATAGTAATAAAGATTATACATGTACATTACTCCAATAAATACCATGTATTTTTTTAACAAATGCCCCTTAGTGCTCAACATTTTTCCAAAAGGGGGGCATCCATTTATGAACAAGAGGGCCATGATGGCCCTGAGGTCGCTCACCTGTATATAGGCCCCCCCCCACCCCCGGGCCAATTTTTACCCAAGGGCTTTTATTTGTTTATTTGAACAGACTTGGTAGACACCCATAAGAAGATGTTTCATGCTAAACATCTAAGTTCTAGCTCATTGGTTTTTTTAAAAGAAGATTTTTAAAGTTTTTACTATACACATATAGTTAAAAACAATGACACCCCTGGGGCAGGGCCAGTTTTGACCCCCGGGCTTTTATTTGAACAAACTTTGTAGATATTTACTTAAAGATGTTTCATGCTTAATATCTAAACTCTAGCTATTTGGGTTTTTTCAAAGAAGATTTTTAAGTTTTTGCTATACACATATAAGGAAAATCAATGACCCCCCCCCCCCGGGCGGGGCCAGTTTTGGCCCCAGGGCTTTAATTTGAACATACTTGGTAGACACCCATTAGAACATGTTTCATGCTAAATATCTTAGCTCTAGCTCTTTGAGTTCTTTAAAAGAAGATTTTTTAAGTTTTTACTATATGCATATAGGGAAAATCAATGACCCCCTGGGGCGGGGCCAATTTTGACCCCAGGGCTTTTATTTGAACAAACTTGGTAGACACTCATTAGAAGATGTTTCATGCTAAATATCTTAGCTCTAGCTCTTTGGGTTCTTTAAAAGAAGATTTTTTAAGTTTTATACTATATGCATATAAGGAAATTCTATGACCCCCTGGGGCGGGGTCAATTTTGACCCCAGGGCTTTTATTTGAACAAACTTGGTAGACATTCACTAGAAGATGTTTCATGCCAAATATCTAAGCTCTAGCTCTTATGGTTCTTTAAAAGAAGTTTTTTTAAGTTTTTACTATATGCATATAGGGAAAATCAATGACCCCCCGGGGCGGGGCCAATTTTGACCACAGGGCTTTAATTTGAACAAACTTGGTAGACACTCACTAGAAGATGTTTCATGCTTAATATCTTAGCTCTAGCTCTTTGGGTTCTTTAAAAGAAGATTTTTTAAGTTTTTACTATATGCATATAGGGAAAATCAATGACCCCCTGGGGCGGGGCCAATTTTGACCCCAGGGCTTTTATTTGAACAAACTTGGTAGACATTCACTAGAAGATGTTTCATGCTTAATATCTAAGCTCTAGCTCTTACGGTTCTTTAAAAGAAGATTTTTTAAGTTTTTACTATATGCATATAGGGAAAATCAATGACCCCCCCGGGCGGGGCCAATTTTGACCCAAGGGCATTTATTTGAACAAACTTGGTAGACACTCACTAGAAGATGTTTCATGCTAAATATCTTAGCTCTAGCTCTTTGGGTTCTTTAAAAGAAGATTTTTTAAGTTTTTACTATATGCATATAGGGAAAATCAATGACCCCCTGGGGCGGGGCCAATTTTGACCCCAGGGCTTTTATTTGAACAAACTTGGTAGACACTCACTAGAAGATGTTTCATGCCAAATATCTAAGCTCTAGCTCTTAGGGTTGTTTAAAAGAAGATATTTAAAGATTTTTCTTTTGGTTGCCATGGCAACCAGAGTTTTGCATGGAATTAAATTCTTTGAACAATTTTTAAAGGTGACCACCAAAGGAACATTCCTGTGAAGTTTGGATGAAATTGGCTCAGTGGTTTATGAGGAGATGTCATTTAAAGCAAAAGTTTACGGACGGACGCCGGACGACGGACGGACGACGGACGGACGGACGGACGCCGGACGAAAAGCGATCACAAAAGCTCACCCTGTCACTTTGTGACAGGTGAGCTAACAAAAAAAGTTACATATGGCCAGGATAAACATTTTTTACTGTTTTTTTTTTTCTTTTTTCCATTGAATACCTTATTATAATTATACTGTAAGCATCGGCTTTGTAAAAACTTGCAATAACTTCCTATGATTCATAATAAACTGCTGTTTCCAAACAATTAAGTTTTGTTTGTTTGATTGTTTCATTTTATGCCTTTTCCCAACAGTATTTCAGTCATATAGGTGGGTAGTTTCCTAACCATTGTTCCTGAAGAGTTACACCAGTACTAGACTACCTTCCTCCACGCTAAACTACCAAAGCATCTCCCGGGAATCGAACCCATACCAGAGAGGTAACTGGATTAGAAGTCATCGACTCTAACCCCTCGACCACGGAGGCGGTAATAAAAAAATTAAGTATTTTATTTTTAGCTACAATTGTAGATATCTTAATTAATCTTATACATTTGGCCCACACACAACTATATCACAAACACATAGAGTGCGTCCAAACATTTGCCTTCATTTCATATGAAAATTTACTAATTAAAGATGCATTTTTCTATATCAAACAAGAATTCTAGTTACATATTATAAATAATCTCAAATTCTGACCCAGACAGACTGTATCAAGACCCAGACAGGATCTGGATCAAGATCAGGATCAAATTTAAATACTCAAATATTATCCATAATTATCCTCATAGATTTAATATAAGATATTAACTTAATAAAATTGGACATAAAATAGAATGTTTATGAAATTAGGAATACATTTATTGTTAATTTAACAAGATGTGATATGGGCATTTTACAGTTGATCCAAATATTGATCCTGATCCTAAAAGTGGTCCTTATTTTGATCTGATTATTTTTGTATATGTTTTGTTATTCCTTGCTATTCTCATAAAATAGGGTTGTTTCTTTGCAAATCAGCCTATTTTTACGTTGTGTTTATGTATTATTTAATTGTTAAGCAATAACTGTTTATCATAAAGCCTGTTAGACAGGGTGAAGTTAGACCAGAACAATGTTTAACTACTGATGAGCTATAAATAACCTTAAAGTAATTAACATTTCTCTGAGACGCTAACAATTTTATTTTTCATTAATTGGCCAAGTATTTGCCAAGTTCAAATACTATCAACTTTGGGGAAGAAAATTACCTGATTTTCCGGAGGAATATCTGTAACATGATGATAACTCCTAGAACTAATAATTAAAATTCATCACTTAATCCATCACAATTACATTTTGCAGAATCACTGTTTATAAAGTTTTAATTTCTGTTCAATTACACATGAAAAAAAAAATCGCCAACAATTTTCTATTTTGTTCCTGGATTTCTCACAAAAATTATTTCCATGGAAACCAAACATATAATGAATTAAAGAGTGGTGGGGGATTATTATTTGTTTCTAAAAATAATTTTGAAGAAGGTGAAGAAAACATGACTTTGGTATTATAAAGCCACAGTCTTTGATTCGTATTACACACATTTTTTACAATAGTTGAGAGAAATCATTTCTGACAGAAGTATAATAAGTAAAGGACAAACTGTCACAATGAATAAATATTGGCGTATGACTGATTCTGTGAAATTCATATGTAGGGTATCTCTTGCTGTAGATAAAGCATAGATGATGAATATCAATACTGTTTCAAATGAAGATATACCATTTAATTTTGTGTCCATGTTATTTTGACAGTGTGATGCATTAGAAAATTAAATGAATAATGTTTAATCAATATTTGGTCTAAAACTCAAGCTTTTAACCCTAGTCTGTAAGTTCAAGTCCTAAGTAATATCTGGTCTCAAATTCAAGCTCTTAACCCAATTAATGACTGTGGGTTCAAGTCCTATTCATTAGGACTCTTCATTATATGTTCTCCTATGTACTGGTTTAAGTTCCAGTAGTCAAAAGTGATTATATATTATAATGATAAGTTGAATGAATTTATTTCTTTATCAATCTTAAATAAACTGACATAAAGCTAAACTTTTTGAAATTTTAACCCTTAACCTGCAACAACCAAAATGGATTAGCCTGTACCACTAGTAGAGAGCAAGGTTGGGAGGGGGGGGTATAAAATGTCTCTAATTTCAACTTACTAATCTTCAAGGTTGGGGCTGGGGGGGGGGGGGAAGGGGGTTAAAATGTCTTTAATTTCAAATTACTAATCTTCAATCACATTCTCTGGGCCCTTTCTATCAAACTTTAAACAGATACAGTATTTCAGTGTATTATTTTGTTACATACCCTAAGAAACTAAACATGTTAACAAATACATGTAGTAATTTAATGCTGGCAGTTGTTAACTATGTTTATTATAATACATCAAATAAAAGTCCATCTAAATTAAGTAATTTTTATTTATAGACATAAAAGTAAACAGTTGACATTCACTCAGATTTGTTTGCAATTGTACATCAGTTAAGATTGTCAGACTTGTTATCAATCATACTTTTACTGGAATAGACATTATTTTCCTTTCGATGTCAAATATATACATTAGTTATACATATTATCAAAAGATTACATCTTAAACCACATGGTAGTACAACTTTAAATCATATTAAGTCTGAGGTTATTATGAATAATTGCCGAGGTGTTCCAATTATTCAAAATATGGAAACCTGTATACATGATTTCAAAATAAAGCTCTACTATACGTAAATTTTAAAACTGTTCCATTTAGCATAAACCAAACAGATTAATTCTAAATTAATGACTTATGTAATTATGGTAAAAAACATAAAGCATTACCTTTGGTCAATTCAAAAATTGTGGTGGATCCTTATTTTGACCTTCAAGTGGTTTTGGCATTGACACTGAAAATAGAGAAAATATTTAAATTGTGTGCATCAATTGCCTGTTGTCTTACCATCAACATGCACTGAATAACATAGCACTCTTGGGGACCTAACCCTGGTTACCTTTGACCCAATTGATAAACAACAAGAGGGCCATGATGGCCCTGAGGTCGCTCACCTGTATATAGCCCCCCAACGTTGCAGGGCCAATTTAACCCAAGGGCTTTTATTTGCACAAACTTGGTAGACACCCATAAGAAGATGTTTCATGCTAAACATCTAAGCTCTAGCTCATTGGGCTTTTTAAAAGAAGATTTTTTTTAAGTTTTTACTATACACATATAGTTAAAAACAATGACACCCCTGGGGCCGTGCCAGGGCTTTTTTTTTAACAAACTTTGTAGACACTTACTACAAGATGTTTCATGCTTAATATCTAAACTCTAGCTATTTGGGTTTTTTCAAAGAAGATTTTAAGTTTTAAATTGCTATACACATATAAAGAAAATCAATGACCCCCGGGGCGGGGCCAATTTTGACCCCAGGTCTTTTATTTGAACAAACTTTGTAGACACTCACTAAAAGATGTTTCATGCTTAATATCTTAACTCTAGCTATTTGGGTTTTTTCAAAGAAGATTTTTAAGTTTTTGCTATACACATATAAGGAAAATCAATGACCCCCGGGGCGGTGCCAATTTTGACCCCAGGGCTTTTATTTGAACAAACTTGGTAGACACCTATTAGAACATGTTTGATGCTAAATATCTTAGCCATAGCTCTTTGAGTTCTTTAAAAGAAGATTTTTTAAGTTTTTACTATATGCATATAGGGAAAATCAAAGACCCCCCGGGGCGGGGCCAATTTTGACCCCAGGGCTTTTATGTGAACAAACTTGGTAGACACTTATTAGAACATGTTTCATGCTAAATATCTTAGCTCTAACTCTTTTGGTTCTTTAAAAGAAGATTTTTTAAGTTTTTACTATATGCATATAGGGAAAATCAATGACCCCCCGGGGCGGGGCCAATTTTGACCCCAGGGCTTTTATTTGAACAAACTTGGTAGACACTCATTAGAAGATGTTTCATGCCAAATATCTAAGCTCTAGCTCTTAGGGTTGTTTAAAAGAAGATATTTAAAGTTTTTTCTTTCGGTTGCCATGGCAACCAGAGTTCTGCATGGAATTAAATTCTTTGAACAATTTTTAAAGGTGACCACCAAAGGAACATTCCTGTGAAGTTTGGATGAAATTGGCTTAGTGGTTTATGAGGAGATGTCATTTAAAGTAAAAGTTTACGGACGGACGGACGACGGACGGACTACGGACGGACGCTGGACGAAAAGCGATCACAAAAGCTCACCCTGTCACTTTGTGACAGGTGAGCTAAAAAGACAGACTGAAAACTACATGCCCACTCCCAATCAATCTATTGATCCAGGGGGGTAAAATATATTTACCAGGAGTTATCATAACCCTTACACAATTAATGCTGAAACCAAAACATTCAAAGTCTTTGTCATGCACTTCTCTAGTCTGTAGTCTGATGTTAACTGACCTTTTCATTGATACATGACTTAGAAGCTGAACCCTTTAAAGTATAATATGTGTCCTATTTATTGCACAGTTTTAATCTCGAAAAACCGCATAAAGTTTTACACACAATTTCATCAGATGCATCATTTATCAGATTAAGGGATAAATATTGTTTTCCCAGAAGTTATGATCGTGATATTAATATTTGCCGAGCCTTTATTACACTGATGAACCGATAAAAACCTTTCAATTCTAGCAATGCAATAATCATCACTTAAATACATTGTCAGATTTTTATTGCTGTAGCAATGTTCAGTCTATATTTTTCTGTCCATGGGGCATAACAACTGATACACTAATCCATATAAAACTTTTGAAGATCTGTTCGTGGTAAATGGTGGATGTGTACATGTCAAATCTTTGACTTTTCTTGCACACCAGATTAGATTATCTAGGGTTCGTACCTGTACAGGATAACCTCATCGTACACCCCCTTGGTGTAACATGAGATGTATGCTTCAAATGACATGAACATCATTCAGCCATGGTTATGAACTGTGCTTAATTTAGGGCAAAATCATTCTGCCATATCAATTTTATTTGTTTTGTTTGGATTTACGGTGCACCAACACAATTTTTATACATGTGACAACCTGAATTATTTACGTTTTATGGCGCCAAAAGAGGAAAGATGATTTTGGCTAACCCCAGGCATTACAAACTGAAAGCAACACCATCAAGCAAAAGAACTTCCCCTGCTGTAGCTTAAAGAGATGCCCAGACTCCAGTAATTCAAACCCATTCAGTTGCCTCTTACAATCAGTGACTGCAATTTTGAAGACTCTAACCCTAAAGGCAACACTTCAGCCACATCGGGGGCCATGTTAATGAATGAACAACCATAAGCTGCAACCAGAAATTGTGCTAAATAATAATTGTTTCTTTATCTAAGCAATAAACTTAAAGTGCGTCTTTTAAAAAGAAGTACTGGTTGTTGTTTATTGTAAGCTACTATATATGTAACTGATGAGCCAAACATTTCAGAATCATCGTACATTGTAAACAGGTCTTAAAATCATACATCACCAAAAACCAGCCAGTTCAATAACCGATTTTTTATACATCAAGAACCTATAAAACAAGAGCTGTCCGTAAGACAGCGCGCTCGACTTTTTTATTGCTTGCCAATAAAAAAAGTTTTTGCAGTAAAAGGCAATACAAGAATCTCTGTATTTTTAAAGTGAACAATGGCCATGAGCATTAAGATATTTAGTGAAGAATTATTAACCAAGATTCTAAGTCGATAAAAGGCCTTAATTTTTAAAACAAATCCTTGACAGAGTTACCTTCTCTTGCGTACAGATGGGGGTAATGATGTGAAATAGCATTAAAAGTTTCAAAGCAATATCTCAAAGGGTTAAGGCAATAAGTGGATTTTACCCATATTCAATGTATTTTCTAAGTCAAAAAGGGGCATAATTCTGTCAAAAACCTTGACAGAGTTATGTCCTCTTGTCTGTTGATGAAGGTCGTGATGGTAAACAAGTATGGTCAGTTTCAAAGCAATACCTCCAATGGTTTTGAAATAAAGTGAGGTGGTACAAAAAACTTAACCAAGCTCAATACACTTTCTAAGTCAAAAAAAAGGCCCATAATTCTGTCAAAAACCTTGACAGAGTTATGTACTCTTGTCTGTAGATGGAGGTTATGATGGTGAACAAGTATGGTAAGTTTCAAAGCCATACTTGTAATACTTCTGAAATAAAGTGGGGTGGTACTAAAAACTTAACCAAGATTCTAAGTCGATAAAAGGCCTTAATTTTTAAAACAAATCCTTGACAGAGTTACCTTCTCTTGCGTACAGATGGGGGTAATGATGTGAAATAGCATTAAAAGTTTCAAAGCAATATCTCAAAGGGTTAAGGCAATAAGTGGATTTTACCCATATTCAATGTATTTTCTAAGTCAAAAAGGGGCATAATTCTGTCAAAAACCTTGACAGAGTTATGTCCTCTTGTCTGTTGATGAAGGTCGTGATGGTAAACAAGTATGGTCAGTTTCAAAGCAATACCTCCAATGGTTTTGAAATAAAGTGAGGTGGTACAAAAAACTTAACCAAGCTCAATACACTTTCTAAGTCAAAAAAGGCCATAATTCTGTCAAAAACCTTGACAGAGTTATGTACTCTTGTCTGTAGATGGAGGTTATGATGGTGAACAAGTATGGTAAGTTTCAAAGCCATACTTGTAATACTTCTGAAATAAAGTGGGGTGGTACGAAAAACTTAACCAAGGTGTGACGCCGACGCCGACGCCGACGCCGGGGCGAGTAGGATAGCTCCCCTTTTCATAGAAAAGTCGAGCTAAAAATGGGGGGAAAAAGCTTTTATTGTATAGCTATATAACATAATTCATCATATTAAACCTGACATGAAAATCACCCCTTCAATAAAATTAGCATGCTATTCAGTGCTAGAGAAATGAGACTTTTCCATTAGCTGTGAAAATGATTACTGGTCGAGAGAGAAATATATGTATTGACTTTATGCTACCAAAATATTATGACAAGACAATTCATCTTTATACATTAATATGATCAATGTCGAAGCACAAGTATTAATCAAGGAGCCGCCGCTACCATCGTAACTTGTGCTTGAAGTGCCATGAGTTACGATTTTGTAACGTAGAAGCCTTGATTTGCTAGTACTGCGTTTTAAAAAAATATAGTATTTAACGTAATGGACCCCTGTAATGGCACTTAGTGGTTCCAACCTGATTATACATACTTTTGCGAGCTATTTTGTTATTTTTCCATCAATAGTAGTAAAACTCTGAAAATGTTTAGCTTCACTATCAAGACAGGTTAATAGGTGCACAATTGACGCAGTGTGACTGTTATTACTATTAATTGTTAGAGGCTAAATTTTTACTATTTTAGAATTTTGAATTCTGCTGGCAGCAACTGAATCGACTCCTGCATCAAGTGCAAACCAAAATCTGCCGGCATATCCTTCGACAGCACTGTTTACTTATTCAGTCAGTGGTAATTTTTGAAAATTTCCCCTCAAAATGATGAATGGTTCTGTCCAGATTGAAAGATAGACAAGTCTATATAAGATATTTAAGGGGGTGAGGGTAGAATCAAAAAGGAACAAATCCAACTATTTGTAAAAGTCCATCTCAATCCTAAGTGCTTAGTTTTATGGTAAAGCATGTAGAATCTACATGCTCAAGTCTAAATCCTTACAGAATTTTACCTGACAGTATTTCAACAAAGTTCTGGTCATGATTATGGGCCTTTAATATTTTATATGGCACTTTTCTCTAATTATTCTACAACACTGTTTTATTGAATTTGGAGATGTTCTTTAATTATAAAGAAAGAAATTATGAATCTGATTTCATTATATCAAAGGCAAGACTGACATCCATTGGTACTAAAAGCTCATCAAGAGGTCTTTGTGTCCAAATGAGCTAATAAAT